GCCAACTGATTTGCATGCTGGTGTAGGCCTCTGTTCACGCAGGAAATGTATCTGCGGGCTACACGAATGCCAATTCACAAAGACAGGCAATAAATTATGACAAAAGTTTGTTTAAAATCATTTACAAATTAAACAGCAGAAATTACATTAAAATGAGTGAAAATGTGGCAGCCAGCTGCCGGCAGAAGCAGCAGCAAAAAGCGGAGTTCGCCTTTCCGAGAAAGCCAGTTGGATGCCAAAGACCAAGACGACGCAGTTGCAGCTCAAGAGCTGATGATGATGCCTCGATGACGATGACGATGCTGATGCCTCGATGCCGATGCTGACTGATGTTAATAAGGCGTCTCATAAATTATCAAGGCGAAACGTGCTGAGAGACGAGGAAGAGACGCGCTGCCAATGCCATTCCAGCAGGCACAGCCATTGGAGATGGTAGCGTGAATGAAGGAGAGACAGCCACTAAAGTACTTAAAAGAACCACAGTTGAACAATTTATTCTAAATATAATAAATATTACAGCATTGCAACATTTGTACTACCAGCTCAAAAGTATTTTCATTACTTAGCTGCACTTATTGATCAGTAAAATCTTCCACGACGATCCCATCTCTAGCAACCATCGTGCACAGGCCCCAGCCTCCTCTCCATCTCCTCGGCCATCTCCTTCATCAACATTTTGTTGCTGTCTTGACATATGCAATGGCGCGCACAACACAAAAAAATTTACATCGCGTTTATACGGATGCGAAATGCAAGACAAATCTGAAAACCAGAAAGCAAGGCCAGAAGCGACACGAACAACGAATATTGGAACACTCTAGAAATGTATTCCATATGTGAATATAATTATTAAAACTGATTTCCTTTGGAGGATCTATAAATAATGTAGAATTATCACTGAACGATCCACCATTGGTAAGTTCAGACTGCTACAGAAAAGATGAAATAAATCTGACATTTTTGAAGCTTTGCTTGATTTGGCAACGATCAAAATAATTTCTTACAGAAATTTAAAGTAAATCCTCGACAGCAATTACACAATACAGAAAATAGACTTTTAACATCTATAAAATCGAAATCTTTGCCTTAATTTACTCGTACCAACATCCCATAAGAAAACCATCATATCCTCTGCCAGTGTATAATGAGGTGGTCCACAGGAGGCGGTAGGAGGAGGAGGAGGCTGGCTGGCTATCTGGCTGGCTGGCTGGCTGGCTGGCAGCTACCACTATTAACGTGACAATTTGTGATTTGTGCTGGCTGCTGGCTGCTGTGGCTGTGACTCTCTGGTATTTAGAATTTCTTTCTCAGCCGCTGCTCCGCTCTCAGCATCCTGTTCTGATCTGTGTGGGGATCTGTCGCCAGCGTTCCTGGGCTTGCTCTGCGTTGTGTGTTGGCTGCATTTAGATTACGGAATTATTTAAAATATTTTATTAAAGAGCGACTGAGCGATCTCTCTTTAGCCGCGCACAAAATGCCAGCTGTGCGTGGTCAGCGTAGCGGGGTATTAATTATATAAATTATTCACAAGTTTTTCTCTCTCTGTTTTCTCTTAATGAAATCCCAGGAAAAAAGGTACAACAGCGCCATCTGGTGGGGCTTACCTACCCATAGAAGGGGTTGGAAGTGTTCTAAAAATCGGGCAGCCTATGCAAAAATTGAAGACTGGAAATGTGTTTCCTCGTAAAGGGTTGAATCGGTGTTCATTTTTTAGCAGAAGGGTTGCTGGAACAATGTTTTTTATGGGGTGTGTTAGTGTGATTTTGTTGCTGAAGATAGAAGGAAGAAAAGGCGAAAACAGCAAGGAAAAAATATATACTTATAAGGAATCAATTTGCCATGCCATTTGAGTGTATTTGAAGCAGGTGAGTAATTGAAATATTTGTGATAATAGTTTGTTCACGAATGCTTTTATTTTCTAGGCACACAAAATAGGTAATTTTGTGGCACATTTCAACTGGCTGCCTAATTCTAGTATGTATTATTTAATGGTGCGACAGACTGACTAAATCTGAGTAAGATTTTATGAAGAGTGAAAAAATAGTAATAAATGTGACCTAAAATGATGTTAAGAGTTACAGAAGACGGCCCCTGAGTTACCTTTAGAGCTTCCGTTTATATTTTCAAACAATATTTTCAGTGCTCCTTTAATGTAATAACTACAAGCAAAAACCTATAAAGTCACAGGAGGTTTGAAAGACTTTAAGAGTTTGTACACCGAAAGCTTCTTAGCTTACCACTTGAATTTATCCCCACACGCGCTCCGCTATAAAAGCAAAAGCACCTAAAACCCACAGCTAAACTTCTGTCCACATGCCCTGCCACGTATCCATGACTGAATAAATAAACAAAAATATATATCGCAGCACACTTGGACCAATTAAGACACCAAATAAGCATTGTTTGAACACGCGCCCAATGGGTTCAATTTATAATTTAAATATTGAAAACCCGTTGATGTTTTTCCTACTCTGCTTGGCCACGCTTCAGCCCGCTGCAAGACTGCATTCTCAATGGAAATCCAAATGACCAAAGCCAACAAAAATCCATAAGCCAGCAAGCCTCTTTTTTTGTACGATCATTTCCGTTTTACACCGAAAAATCAAACTTGACAAATTAGACAAATAGAAAACATGTCCAAAAACAGACTGACTGACGTCTGACCCGCCTCAATTAAGCTGCTCAACATATTTCCTTTTCTCTTGTTTTTACAAGTCATGCCGAGTGCGTAAGACCGGAGGTACAGCAGGGCCCTGAGGTGTCTGCTTGAGGAATGGGTTCAGGCAGCAAGTTGCTAATTAGAATAGACCCCAGGTGGAAAAATGTTTATTCATGGCTGCAGCTAGTGATGGGTGGGTGGGGGGTGATATTTAAATAGAAATCGGAATGATGAATGTTCTCAGAATACGCACGGAATATTGCTAGGGGAATAGATTTATGTATTTTTTTGAGCATAAATGATCCCATGGGAGCTGGTACAATTTTCTTACAAATTAAATACTTTTTGTGATTTTGAGTGGAAATATTAAAGTTTGTTCAATTTATTTGCTTTAAATAAATAAATAATTTCTAGCGCTTACACATAAATTATTTATAATTGTTCAAAGTCTTAGAGAACTTCTCTACCTTCTAGGGTGTTGTCCGCACCCATTTCTAGCTCAGAGCACAAATGAACAAGAAGCATTGAAAGGGCGACAGGAAAGTCAAATTTAAATTCGTTTAATTTCACAGCTCCGCGATATCGATCAATGAACAGGCCACAGAAGCAACAGAACAAGGTAAGACGAGGCAGTGGACAGGCAAAAAGATGTGCAGTCATGGCAAGAGGCAGCTTCCGTCTCAGACAGGGAGATACGGAGACAGTGAGAAGGAGGGGGAGTCAGACAGACATACGGACAAAGAGATAGTAACTCTCTGCCACCATCCCAGTAGAATTCAGACACCTTTTGCCTTGGTGCCTGGTGCCTGGTGCCTTGTGCCTTGTGCCTGGTGCCTTGTGGTTCGTTCCCGTGCCCGGACCGAGCCTGGGCATTTGGTCGTAATCAAAATCCTTTTATAGCATTTACATAGCAGCACATACAAATCAAGTAATGCCTGCTATTGGTCAAGTTTTTTCCTCTGTCTCATAGCCAGTTCCAGCCCGTTGTCCACTTGTTTTGCAGTTAGAGTTAGTCATTGAGACTTGGGGCCATGTGACAGGCGCGATAGCCGCGAGAGCCACTGATCGTGGGAAAATGATCGATTTCATCAGCAGTCTGTCTCTCCCTCTCTCGCTCTCTTTCTCTCTCTGTTGCTCCCCCGTCTCCAAAGCATAGCCATGGAGCAGTACATGACATCGAACATCGAACATCGAACATGCCCGAGATGCGAGTGCTGGCAAAATCGCAATTGAAACGTGTTCATAAAGCAATTTTCGACACAGCTCGTAACATAGTCTAGGATTTTTTTGTACGTATTTTATTTGCTTGTTTTTGTTGTTGCTGCTGCTGTTTTATGAAATGCATCTGACAGATTGTTGCCAATTTGGTAGTGCAGCCTTTTTGAATATTGATTTGATGACCGTGGAAAATTGGTTTTTTAGCAGCACTTTTTCCCCTCTTCTCTCCTTTTTGTTGAACGCCTTTGATGGACAGTTGGCTGCAGATAAAGACTAATGGACGTTTAATGATTGATTAAGCATTAAGGCAGCATGGTAGCAGGTTGATTGGGCGGTTGCATTAGTGGGGCTGAAGAAAGATTTACACATCTATTTTGAGGTGAAGGAAGTTAATAAATAAATAGATAAATATTAAAATTACTTTCCAGTATTCTCCACAGATATTGGCCACTTATTTATATTTTATATTTTTTAATTATTCATTACCTATTTTGTATAATATTTGAATATTTTTTGTGTGGATTATTTGAGTTGAATTTCGGACATCTTTTGTAATAAATATTCATATCATCATACTTATTAACATTGATATTAAAATGTAAGCCTTCCAGTGGTGTTTTGGCATAACATAAGTTAACATTATTTTGATGAATATTTCAGATATATTGTCTTACGACACACAAAAGGTCATCCTATTCAACCATCTCTAAGTACATAAATCTTGCCCAAAATTTCCAATGGTTCCCAATAAATGTGCTTCACATTTTCTTGTGTGAAAAGATTCAATTTAAAATGCCGTCAGTCAGCCTTCTCTGCTGTAGCCTTCTATTCCATCGCTAAAACTCAACTCGAAACCCAAAACCTCATTGGCAATGCTAATTCTTCGCCACATATATTTTTGTATGCATTATACTTTGCACACTTTTTTAGTTTTTACTTTTGGACACACCTTTTAGAGCGCTCCCTCACCTTGTAATGGTATTTATACTCGTATTTAATGGCAACGTTAATTTATTTCATACATCAAACACATTAGCGATGCTTCGGCTTTATTAAATTAAGAAAAAAATCATTTCACATGTCAGATTTTATATATATACATTTTCTCTACTAATGCAGGAAAACTCACTCAAGCCAAAACGGATTAAATGGGAGGACCAGCAAAAAAATTGCCTCAAAGAAAATTCTACAAAGAGCTGGAGGAAAAAAACTTCTCCAAAGAGGTTGGAAAAACTGGAACAGGCCAACATTGGCTGGTTGAAAATTATTATGCAGCAGCAATTACTCGCCAATTGTCGTCGCAATGAGATGGAGAGCGAATGGGTTGGGAAAGGGGAACAAGAACAAAAGGCAGAAAAAGTTGTTCAAAAAGGCGATAATCCAGTCGAGAATGGAGCTGGCCAAGGAGCATCGCAACGATCAAACGGCAAAAAGACTTGGAGTCTGGTCAAACCGTTTGCCGGCTATGACCAAATGGAGAGGATCAACCAGCGCGCTGACTACTGTGATTATTTTTATTATAATTGCGTGAGGAAATGTTTGGGATCCCATTGGGGGACCCGGCCCCGAGAGAGTGTGAGTCGTGTGAGTGCGTTAAATTTCATAATCAACAAAAATCAAACAACAATTGCGTTTATTTCTCTCTTCATTTCTTTCTATTTCTATTGGCAGTGTTGCCAACTGCTAATGACGACGACACCTTTAACAACACTCCTGCCTCTTCGGACACTCTGAAAACATCCCACAAATTTTACCATATATGTCCAAAGTGGTACACCGACCGGCAAATGGTCAACGGCAAATCGACTTTGATTTTTCTTCGTCTGCGGCAAAACTTGGCGCAAATGTTGTTGTACAACATTTTTGTGTCTCTTAAATGCAGTTTAAGACTTCAGTTGCTGTTTAGCCGTAATATATTTTTTGACTGCGGATTAAGTATATTTTGGATGCAGTCAAAGAGTTTTTGCCGACTGTTATAAGGTATGATATAAGTGGCAAGAGATTAGGGAAAGCGTCAAGAGGTTTGATTTACTGCAGACAATTTGTATGCGTATTTTGTGAGTAGAATCTAGGAACAATTTAATGAAATTAAAGATTGAGCTGCAAGTAACTTAAAATGGGGGAAAAACAAAGACAACTCCAAGTTTTTACACCAAACAATAATGAGCAGACGAGGAAATTGTTCGACTGCTTTGTATTTTCCCAAAAATGTATTTGTAAAAAGTGTATTAATCCGCTGGAAGATTACACATCATTCCCTTCCCTTTAGTTCTTCCATCCATAATTCAATAACTACTTCAAAAAGGTTTCTTTTATTTTGATTGCATTTTTAAATGCACCAAAATGAGTAAAACAATTTTTATATATACTAAAAAATGCGGCAATTAGTTTGTATAGCACTCCTTAATTTTGTTGCCATCTCTGATATGTTTCTATTGTATTGCCAAATTGCCTATTTCCCACTTGACGTAGCTGAAGCGCAGTCATAAATCTCACCTTCGGCAGTTGCATTTCAATTAGGAAGTGCATCCAAAAAACCCAGCCTAAACCCCAATTAAACGAAAGAAAGATTCCCTCAGTAGATTTTGTTTCCACCAATTGCCGCTAAACTGTTGGAAATCCCCCGCTGCCATAATTAGTTATTGAAATGAACAGCATTTGGAAGCACAAAAAGTCTCCACACAGATGAAAATCTGAGCCCCGGGGCAGCCTATCACAGCAAACCGATCTGAAAATGATGTACAAAAAACATCCCATGTAATGGTTGAAATTATAGCAACAATTTAGAGGGGCGGAGTCGAATGAAACTCAACAACACTCATAAATGGAGCCTGGCCAGACGACTGTGGCCTCAGGCAAGAATTTGCTTAAAAAATCAATTAAATACACAGAGAAAAAAAGCAAAAAAGAGCGTTCAAGCAAAATTAAAATCATCTAAAGAATCGCACGCCAATGGCTCATTTGTAATGCTCCAGAAGCGGGCGCAGGAAAATGCCCCTGCATCGTCCAGAGGGCAGTGTGGAGCGACGTCTAATTACACAAAGCCTTTTGTTGTCTGCACGAGCATTTGCTGTTGTGGTGTTGTAATGCGACAATTAAAATTATTGTACAACTTTCTGTTTTCTGCTTGCATAATCGCACAATTTGTCAACAGCGAGACAGCCCTTTTTGGATCAAGTTTAATTGTTTTACACACTGTTTTGGTTTTTTTTTTTCAATTAAAATGCAAAGTTTGTGAGGGTTAAAATGCGTCAAAGAGAAAAATGCGTTCTAGGCTGGCGTGTTGCAAGTGTGAAATGAAAAATTGCACTGCCAAAGCAGTTCCATTCATGGATGAGATGCCATTTGGGTGGAAACAAACAATTAACAAAGGTATTTTAATGAGGAATATTATTTTGTATTTTTATTTATATTTTTATTATTATTAGTTGTGTTACAACGTAAAAGAATTTTCACTTAAATGTAGCAAGAATTTATGCCTTTGGCCAGGACTAAAAATAAACTCTTGGAATAATTGTATTCCAAGCCCAAAATTCCATTTTGAAGAATATTTCTACAAGTTCTGTTTGTTAAAGTAGCTCAAATTTAAAACAATAACACTAATCGTAGCCAAAAATGTCCGCAAAAAATTGTAAAATTTAGAGTGCACAAAACTCACCAATAAAAAACCTTCCAGAAAGTTCAACGACTTCCATCTTCTACACTAAAAATGATAAAGTTTTCGCTCTTCCCCCCTCAACGCCACGCCTCATACACCCTCATCAATCTACCATATCCACACAAATCTCTGCTCAGACATTGAGCATCAATTGGCGCATTTAATGTGCCCATTTCTAGCAATTATTAATTATAATTATCAGCTAAAAACAAGGCAAATGCATTTGGCACTTTAAACGTAGCAACTAAACTAAACAAAATTATGGCAAATAAATATGGATGTAAAAAGCAAAGAATGCGAGAGAAAAAGAATAGCAAAGAAAAAGATTTGCAACAACTTTCTATGACATTTAAATGGAAAAGATGAAATCGAGCAGTTTATGTTGAACAAAACTAGCCATCGGGATTAGACCATAAAGCATAGTCTGCAGCGTAGCTGCCAGTAGCTCTTGAGACTTGCAACAGTGCCAGCAGCAATGGCAGTGGCAACATCAGCGGCCTCTGCGTGTGCGTGTCAGCGACTGTGGCTTTTCGGGCTTCATGGTGCACTGGACCCAGGCCGGGGCCTGGACCGTCAAACCAGAACGGCCGCCTATGAAGAATTCTGCCATAAATCATGGTCATAAAACTTAGCTGTAATCCATAGAGTAACGAAGAGCTGCAGGGCGGGGGAGAGACTTTTCCTTGGATTTTTTCTATTGGTTGCGCAAGCATTTCGCGGACTTTCCACTGAGCATAACTTTTGATTGATAACGATGTGTCAATAATATGTGTTTGCAATTTTATGCTGACTGAATAATGTGAATGTGAACATTGTGATGAAACGCGATTCGAATGGACCGGACCCGGCCAATGAAAAAATATAACATTTAAATGGTAATTTAAACATAGATCCATCCGAGTTGCAAGAAGCAAACGAAGCATGATGAGTAAGTAGTGGCTGCTGTCAGGATACCCAATGATCATGGGGAAGCCACAGTGCTACGATCCTATGAATTTTGTACGCTAATAATTTCTAAAGAATTTTAGATTATTAAATTATCGTTAAACATTAATAAAGAAATACAAAATAAATGCATTGTAGGAAGTAATCGTTAGATCGGAAACATTTATTGATTAACTTCTTTGAAACTAAAATAATAATTGCTATCTTTCATGGCTGAGTACTTTTCCTGTTTTCCTCTTCTGTATTCTAAAATATCAATGCCCTCTCCCCCATTTTCCACACTTCCCAGCCCACTGTGCGCGGCAGTATTTGAATGACCAAAAGTGCGCAATGCCTGGAATTTGCATTCAAATTGAGCGGCTGACGTGGCTCTGGGGGGGTCGGGGACCAGAGGCCAGGGCGCCTCTTCAACAAAGGCAAAAACACCGCAAAACTACGGCGCAGAAATGCAAACGACAGGCTAATAAGCCCGAGTGGACAGCTCGGAATTCCTGGCCGGACTTCATATGGTAAACAATTGTGCGGTCTCCGCAGAGGCATAGGCACTATGCACCCAGAGGTCTGCACATCGCTGTGGAATCGCACGTTGACAGCTTGCTTAAAGGCCGGCAGCAGAGTTGAATCAACTTAATTGCTGGCGGAATTGTGTCAGGGCGTCGCGTCCCGTCCCGTCCCATCGCGCATCGATCGTGCGTATGCGATACAGAAGCTAAGGCGCCAGCAGACAGCGAGAGAGCCAGGCAGGCAGAGAGCAATCCAACAACAAAGCCATTGTTCCCCAGTCGAACCTGTGCTCGGGGCTAAGCCGAATGCTGAAAGCTTCAGAGAATGGTGCGTTAGGGCGCGGTAACGTAGCTGGGAACTGCCAACCGTTCTCTTGAAATATTTTCGTGGATTAATTGCTGATTAATTTTATTGATGTGTTTCAGATGTTAAGGGGAAAAAACAGGCAGATTCGACGGGGGAGAATACAAATTTGAAAAGAGTTTATTGGATTATGAATTGTGTGTCTTTTGGGAGAGATCAACCAATGAATCAAATGTGGTATGTTTTGTGAATAAAATAAGAATATTTAATAAACTTTATCTCATTGAAAATTTCATAAATATTGCCCAGTATATGAGAATAACTTTATATTTTTTTAAGCTAACATCACAGATAAATATTCCATAGAACGAAACAGATAGAAGATAGCAGAAAATCAATAATTAAATAGCTATTTTATCACTGAAAAAAATAAACAACCAAGTGTGAATGTTGTTTTGTTTAATGTCGATACATTATCAAGTTTTATCAAAAGTCTAAACATATAAATAACAAGATAACCAAAATGTTTAATATTAAATTGTATCAATCAATTAATGTATTATCTTTAAGAGCTACAAGTATCCACATATCTCTATTTTTCATTCCACCCCAATGCAGATCAGTTAACAAATATCAAATTATATTTAGCACTCTTTTGGCTAGTTAATAGTCAAAACCGAAACTCCAAAAAGCAGTGCCAACAGAGTGAGATGGACTGTGAAACCAGTTTCTAAACACACAAATCCAATTGGATAGAGCTGTGGTGGCCCCAAAATAAATCCCCCACACACCAATATCCCATCCCACACAGCGGCTGTGGCAGTTGGCGATCCCATATGCAGGCAGGCGACGTACCTCGAGTCTATGCGAGAGCTACGGCTATGGTGATGCAGAGGCGGCATGAGCTAGAGGAGCACAGCAGCAGAGCAGTGCAGAGGCGTACAGCTCCACCTCCAATTGGATTAAGCAAACAAGCAACCACACAAACAGGCACACAAAGGCAGCAGCGATAATCATAAATTTAAATAAAGTGAAACGGAGCATGGGAAAAGCTCACGAGAGAGAGAGACATAAGCAGAAGCTGATTTGAATAAGGCAACTGTGTGTGCCGTAAATCAACAGCACATAGCCATCTCTTTTTCGCATGCGAGCTTCTCTTCACACACTGATGCAGCTTTTGTGGAACCTAAGAGATAGACGGTGAGAGAGCGAGCAAGTTTTTGCGAAGAGAGCGAGCGATCGCAGCTTTTGCAGTGGTATGAGTCGAGAGAACGAACGAGCGAAACAACCACCACGTGAGCGCGGTCTCTCTCTCTCTCTCTCTCCACTCCCCTCTCTCTCTGACAATGCAATGTTGCACTCACCGCATGGGACACATGACGCACGCACACAGCGACACAATTGCAATTGTTTGAGTGCAGTTGCTTGGCCGTTTGTTTATTTGCCTTCTGTTTTTATAGATTTTGTTGTGCAAAAAAAGAAAAGCAGCGAAAAACTTGTTGCAGCGCTTTTCGCCGATCCGCGCGCATCTTTCAGATACTCGCCACAAGCTGTGGCCTCAGTTCAGTTCAGCGTTCAGTGGTTGTAGCTCAAGTGCGCGCGCTCTCGCGTCCCCACACGGACTTAACTTTTGCCAACTTCCAGAGCCGCTAGGCCAGGCCAGAGGAGCCTCGCGATGCCACTGCTCTGATCCGATCCGAGTACCGAGATTCACACCGCTCTCCCGTTTGACCGGCCCACGACTGTTACGCGTTTTGTTGGCTCTTTTGTGCCGCATTTTCTGCGTTTTAACGACGGCATTTGTGCGATTTGTCGGTTGGTTGCTAAGACGTAAATTTACCCTCAGGGATCGTTACTCAACAAAAATATAAGAAATTATTGGGAATTCCTCCTGAACCGCGGAGTTTCATCAAAGTGAATTTGGAATAAAGTGACAAAAATTATATTGATTTTTGAATTGCCATAAAGTGGGAAGAGTTTTTGTTGGGCATATTGAAGCTGCAAGTTATAAAACCGACAAGAACACAAAAAGGTAACTTAAAAGATTATTACGACTAATATACCAATCATTTAAGAGACACAATTCCCTTCTCTTTCTTTTTAAAATCTCCGTTAATCCATTTACAAGAAAATTTCGTTTAAGAAAATATTATACAAACTCTAATGAAGATAATATGTACAAATACATGTATTTTATTCATATTTAATGGGGAAATCTATAATAATAATTCATTCAAAATCTTCTCGGATGAAATGAAACAATTGGACAGAGAGTTTTAGAATGAAGCCATTTTATATGAATAATCACTCGACCTTTTCAGATTCATTTTTAAAATATTTAGATATGCATGATATGATTTCCAGAAGCAAAATTCAATTGTTAAAGAAGAACTTACGATTGTAATTTTGAATTGAACTAATTTCTCAAACAATCTAGATCTTTCTGTTGCAAACCAGCTGCTTGTGTGCTTATTTTTTATGATAGTAGTTCCCCGGCATTCAATGGACCCCCTAATCATGAATCACGCCATTGAAAAAACACGAATTTAATTTCACAATCCTAATCTATAATCTTGAACAGTCTTAGCCGTCTTTAATTTATATTGCTACGATTTTGGATGTGAGGCAGGGGTTTTCCCGAACACAATATGTTGTTGTTTTGTTTGTTTAATATATTACTGGGAGTCGGAGGAAAGCCTAAGGAAAACCTATACCATATTTAGATGTTTCAGAGTCGTGAACAGCACGGCGTCCCGGCTCCATTGCCTTGACTCCAGCTGGTACCAGTCCCCCCATCACCCATCACCCATCACCCTGTAGCCTAAGCCTTCTGGCAAATAAAACTCCCCGTACCTGCAACAAAGTTTACTCTACAGAGTTGAAGTGGCACAACCCCCACCCCCACCACAGTCGACACCTTTCGCAATGTCGCGGCACCAACAGGCGATAAATAATATTGAAATTGAAATAAATACAATAAACAACAGCGAGAAGAGAGTGTAAGAAAAAACCGATCGATTTACACTTTAAATATTGTCGGGGCACCTACCTCCGCCCTACTCGATTTGTTTGTTGTTTATATCTATATCAATACACCAACACACACACGGACACACACATAAACACTTGTGAGTGTGCCTTGTTGCCTTAGTGATAAGGCTGCGATCCACCTCGATATGTTTTTTATTAGCATAACACTTGTGGGGCGCTGGGTTCAAGTATCTGCGAACGGACTGCATTTCCTTTTCAGTGTTTCTTTTCTTTTACACTTCGTTTTCTCTTATTCAAATGCCGTTATCTGCTGCAGCGCACAGATACCATTACCATGTTGCATGTAACGAACAAGTGATTGATTATTTTTACAGTACACTAATAAATATTTGTTCTTGAGTTCCCCCCATTTGCCTGCCTGCTTAGCCTAATTAGATAAAAATGGTATGGCAGCGTCGACGACTTGCTATGGCTGGAGCCTCTTCTATGGCACTATCTTGGCTGCATTTGCCCATTTACCATATTCGGTGGAGGCACTTGAGCTGATTAAGCAACCAGAGCAGAGGAGCAGAGGAGCAGAGGAGCAGAGGAGCAGAAGAGTGGAGCGAGAAGAGAACCAAAAGGAACAGAGACCAAACGGAGACCAAAGACATTTTAGGTATTATTGGAATATTTATAGTAGTTATGTGTGCGACGACTCGTGTCGAGTATTTGCCTCGAAGCCTTGTCGTTTTTAGAAGAAAAATGAGTTCAATTTGTTTGCTGATAAGACAACAACTCTGACTGTGGCTAGGTGAGAGATAAAGTACAACCCCAGAGAAAAACCTGTCAGCACTTTGCATATCATCGTTGACGTGTTCAACAATTGGCATTTGCCCAAAGAAACACTCGAGCAAAGGTTCACCGAAAAAAAAAACTAATCAATTGAATGGGCAGCGAATTGGATGGGTGGAGTATGACCTCAAGAGGGATGGTAGAAATACTTAGAAATACTTATGGTGTAGGGGACTGCGCTTACATGATTGAAGAACTTTAAGGCATTAGTCGAATATTTTTCTGCCACCTTGGGCTATCTTATCAATCCAGTGAAATTTTCCATAAATATAATTTACATATGAATGAATCAGTATCTTTTTCTTGTTCGGTTAAAATGTCCATAAAAGGCTTGTCAACAAGCACAACTCAGAGCGAGTGATTGATAACATTTATAGACTTCTGTGGTTTTGATAACTTAAAAAGGCGAGTCCTGCCTTGTACACACTTCTCGTGCAGTCGGAAGCGCGATAACTGCCGATCCAATAAAATATAATTTGCAAAATTAACAAATAAGTTGAAGGCTCGTGATTAAAGTTTATTCAATTTCACCTGATTTCAACACTTATTGCGCTCTGCACTCCAGGGCCCAGGCAAAGCGCTCTGGACAGCACTTGAGAGGCGCTCTATCTGGGTGCTTTACAATTCTGGGAATTCGCACACACCACAGCTTTTTGAATGGGGGGGTAAATACTGGACATCTATGGCATATGGGCTGATGTTTTTTGTGGTCCGAACAAAGTTCACTTGGGGGCCGGTTGGCGGCCACACAATCTGGGCAATCGTTTTGATAGTTGATACTCGAATTGGATGCTTGATGTTCGTTGTTCGTTGTTCGTTGTTCGAGTTGGGTTAGGTCTTGGTGGTCATTGTAGGTAGTGGAACCATCATCGAGTGCCTATGGATTGTGGGGTGTAAAAAAGATTTAAGGGTGATATGGAAGTAGAGGACTGTGGCATGGATCAGTCACTTGGGGGGCGTCTTTTTGGGAATCAATTTTGCCCTGGGATTCCCCTAGACCCTAGGCACTTTTATCATAATTCTGGGAAATAGTTAACATATTTTCAAACAGTTTTATGGGAGCTGTTAGAAGGAAAGACAAGGCTTTTTCTTAGCTTTATAAACACTATGACTACTATGACACTATCAGCTTTAAATTAGCCTCCAATGAGCTCATCCTTTATCAATTATTCTTTACCCTCCAACCACTGACATCATCCTACCTAGAAGCCTTTCTAACAGACTTCCATTTAAACACAATATCTGTTCTTTCCCCACAATTAAACCCTTTTGGACTTCCGCACTTGAAGTGGCTCTTATAATAAACGATCAATCGATCAATCCACCGATTGCCACGTGATTAAGCCACCTGCCACGTCTGTTCTTGGGAAAAGCTGCTTGGTCTGCCCATAAATTGCAGCAATAACAATACAAATTATAACCAAAAAAGAGTTTGTGACAAATAATTGAAGACTGGCACAATGGAATGGCATTCATTAGTCAATTACACTAAAACCCGTGGGCCTGATAGCACCTCGGGCATGGGTACGAACTCTGATACGAACATACAAAAAACAGGAAATTCTGTGGCTGACTCAGATACTGCCAAAAAAAAGTGGAAATGATGTCTTAGATATGGAAAGACAGAACCAATTTGTTTAGAATTTGTTTTGGACAGCGGCAAGCGGTAAAAATGTTTTTGGCTAATTATAATTGAGCTGCCAATGGGTCGTGGGACGTGGGGTTGGGGGCTTTCGTTTGTCTTAGCTTCTAAGTCACACAATTGTTTGATTGTTATTTTTTTAGGCCAGCGCTAAGCCAACTTGAGCCGCGGGTTAAGTCCCCATTTGGCACTTTACGAATGGCGCCCCCATTATTCATAAATTCTTAAAGAAAATGCAAACATTATTTGGACATAAATCGATGGGAGAGGCCTCCGCTATTTGGTTATGCATTAGGTTTTTAATTTTCGTTAAGTTCAATTAGCATTTGAAGTCTGCACAGCTAAAAATATATTTTATTTTCTATTTATTGTTCATTTAATATATGGGAAAAATAGCGAAAATATCCAAGTCTTTTCCTATGAAATCGATTAGTGTTTGGGTTTCGCGGAAAATGCCTAGCCAGGGGGGAGCCATCAAATGTAAGCCAAGCCATTGTCTGTCTGTTTGTCTGTGGGTCTGTCTTGGTTGGGCAAAGGTCATTCGCCATGTAGGGGCAGTGCACTTTTTTTTATCAATATTTACACACAACTTTGGACTGTGTGTGTTGGTGAAGCAATCGCTGCTGGGGCGTTGTCTTTGGCTATGACAAGTTTCAGTCTAAAGTGAGCACAGACTAAGAGGTCTTAAAATATCTCACACCCTCCCTGCTCTAGTGTATTTACTGTCTACTCAAATAAGTATTCTTTCAGTTACTAAATTGTAATCATTTTACCATAAAATTCGCACAGGAATTTCCTATTAATGTATGCCAACTGATCGACCATAAATGACAACTATTCATGGCTGAACCATAATCAAAGGCGTCTAAAAATATACTTTCCGTCACTGCTCTGTCGCATGGAGGGAGTGAAGGGGAGTGGCTTCCGCCTGCTTAAACTGTAAACATGTGTCTGGAAGAACAGTTTGTTCTCATTTTGGGTATCGAAATAGGTTTCGTAATACGATTACGGAGTAAAAGATCTAAACAATGAAGCAAATAGAGCAAAGAGAAATCAACTTTGTCACTTGCCACATTTCCGCTGCAGTTAGATGTTGGTTCGGGAAGTGGGAACTGGAAACTGGAAACTGGAAACTGGAGACTGGAAACTGCCGACTGGTATCGGGGAGTCTGTCTTCCTTTTCCCCAAATAATAGAAGATGACTTGGTGTTAACAGAGTGTTCTTTTCTTTTCTTTTCTTTGAGGTTCAAGTCCACATTTAAATGGCATTAGCAATTATGTCTCCCCAAATACATGAATGGAAATTTGTTGCTGCCGGTGTTTATTGTCTGATTATTATTTTATTTTTCTCCCAACTACCAGCTACTGTTCCAACAACCATGTACATATGTATCAGCCTCCTGGGTCTCTTCTGCTTCGGGCCTTTGTGGCTTAAATGGTCAAAAACATCAGGTAGATGACTTGTAATTACTTGGCGGAGATCGGCGTCTGTGGCTAGGATTGGTGTGGCTCGGGAGGCTCGGGGAGCTATAAGCAGACGGGGCTCGAAGCGTCAAAGTCTTCAGCCAAACATTTATCAATTGCGGCACTGAGAGAAATAAGTGTGGTAGCTGGACACACAATTCATTTGTAAAGTTGAAAAAATAGTTCTGGCAAAAAGAATTGTTTACCCCGAAATTTCCCATTGGGAGGCATATGGGCTAAGATGCCAATATGTACCAGTACTCACAATAAAATGATGCATTAATACAAAGTAGTTTTGAAACTAAATATTTATTGTATTCCCTTACAATATATTACGTTAAGCGATCACATTGGAGGAATATCTTTACTTTTAGCCCATAAATCAATGCAATTATTTATACAATACAACAACAAACTGAGTAAACTCCCCAACTTTTTCCCCCAGTGCGATTGGTTGGCGATTATGAATATTCAGTTCAATTGCCTTGCTACCCGTTGACAGACTTTTGTCTGCCGTTTACCCATGTAGCATACAGCAATCGCCTCTCCTCCCTCCCCACTACCTATCCGATAAGCTAACCAAAAGTAAAAATGAGTTGGCACCTTTTTGGGGCATTTTAATTTCCAGCCTCGTCATGTTATTTGCTGGCTGCTCTTGTCGCCAGGTGAAATTTCAAGGCGAAACTGAGAAGAAGATTTAAGCAAAACCAAAACCAAAACCAAAACACAAACCCAAAATTGAACTAATTAAAATGACAAAAAGCCAGGGAGGGAGAGAGGGAGAGAGAAAAGTAGTTTGAGGCTGCAGATAAACGGGTTCACATGTCCATCACACTCTTTGCGTGCCGAATGATGAGTATGCATAAATTGGAGACTGCTCCCCTCCTCCTCCCTTTTTCTTATTTTATTTCCTTCTTTCTTTCTGAGCTGTAAATGCGATTTGAGGTTTTTGAATTTCTAATTGTTGGGGCTTTTGGCCTCAACCGAATTTACCTCTGCCACCTGGGGTGGGGGAACCCCGTTTTGATAGGGTACTCTGAGTGTTGAAGGGTGTACTGTATATGTGTAGATGTGTGTAAAAGGAAGAAGGAAGTGTTGAAAAATGAGATTTAACTTGTATGTGAAATGGTAAAAATTCTAAAATCGAACCAAAAATTGTCATTGATCGAGACAAAAATTGGGACTTTTCACTGTGTTGTGTTGTAATTTCTCTTGATCATTATTGCCATAATTCAACTCTCATTTAAGGACATTCGTTTGCAAATTGTAAATCCCCTAAATTTCCTTTAAAGCACTCCACTGCTTGCTGCACACCAAACAAAATGCAAGCAGTCCAAATTCACAGCCCATTTCACACTCAAAATATCGATTATATTATTTCTAAATAATTGTTTTGGCTTCTATTTATTGCGATGACAATTGTTTTTTTCTATATAATTTATGAGTTAAAACATTGGGTTAAACCTTCAGGCAATGGCACACCCTTTTTATGGCTAATTAATCTTCTTTCGACTAATTACAGACGACGAGCAGTATTCCCCCTTGGATTCCTATCGGTGCTGAAGCTAATCATTTTTGGAGCACGTTTGGAGGTTTTCTTTTGGGGCTGCTATCTAACCTGCAAAAGTGATTAACTGTGTGCTGTATGCTCTAGTGTTGCTGCTGTTGGTACAGTTAGCTGTAAGAACTGATTATGCCATTGTTGCTAGCAAACTACTATCAGCAACATCAGCGGCAGCAGCAACATCGGCGGGAGCAGCAACGGCAGCAACAGCAACAACAGAAGCAAAAGCAAAAGCAACATCAGCAGGTTGCCAGCACAAACGGCATGTTACTTGAATACAAAAGCTATTGCAATACAAATCAGGCTAGCAACAACAACAACAACAACAACAACAACGATCACCGACAGCTGTGTCCAGCGGAAGCACTAACAATGTCAACGCCGACAACAACAACCAAATACAAAATCAATGGCGAGGCCAATGAAAGCGTTGCTGCCAGTACACTGCTTTACCATCATGCACATCATCATCTTAATCATCATCAGCAGCTCAGTGGTCTGCACAATCATCATCATCATCACCAGCAGCAGCAGTCGCAGCAGCAGCAACAACAACAGCATCATCAACAACATTTGCTGCTTCAGCAGCAACTCCTGCAGCAACATGTGGCCAGCAGTTCGCCGCTGCAGCATTTGAGCAATCTTTTTGGCCAGCATTTGCCTACGCAGAGTCTGCAGCATTTGATAGCCGCCGAGTACTGGCAGCAACAACAACAGCAACAGCACACAGCAACAACAATTAAAAGCGAGCCAACAACTCAATCAGCAGCGGCAACCTCGGCCTTTGCAGCAACAGCAACAGCAACATCGGTCTTTGGTTTCACGCCTCAGCAACACGTCAATTTGGCAGCCTCGTTAGTCGCCTTAAAGCAAAACGATCCTGTGGCCGTGGCTGCAATGGTGCCCAGCCCCACAGAAATGCCCGGCGCACCGAAAAGAGCGGCAACTGCAACAGCAACAACTACGACAGCAGCAACATTGCAGGCGCCAAAAGCAACGGCAGAATCAACAGCCTGCGGAACAATTGACGAAGACGAAAACGAAGACCACGACAACGAAGACGAAGACGGGGCTGATAATGATGACAGCAACTGCAGCAACAGCATGCAAAATCCAGGCGGTAAGTTTGATGTTTTATGATTATGTTTTGGGTAGATGCAGGCAGGTGTGATCGAGAAGTTGTTGGGAGAGAGAATATTTTCTGTTTACTGCAGATTAAGTTGTGAGGAATTACCTACAAATTTTTTAACCAAATTCAACGTAATGAAAACCATAGAATACCCCGACTTTTCATCATTGATTTCTTAGCTAAAATTCGATTATTGTTTATTGATTTTTAACTACTTCTCGTCCATGCTTTGCGCTCTCCCCTCTCTGTCTGGATAATGCAAGCTCATTTCCATTTCCTGTGCCGATCACGATTCTTTGAAACTACCCTCCCTTTCATCCTCTCTCCCTCCCTTTGCCAGCAGCTCTCTTTCTTAGTTTTTGGCAACGTGTGTGTCTTTTGATTTATTATGCGGCCTTTATTTCATTCATAAAATGAAATGATTATGCCGTGGCCACAAGCACCTCCATTCTCCATCCTCCATGGCTGCTCTGCTCACACTTTCGTGTCATCTGCGGCATGGACTCATTTTCATATCATTAGCCTCATCAGCAGACACGTTTGCTGCACTTCCGTGCCGTGCCCCCCTACGCCAGGTTTCCGAGTCTCTTAAACATCATCATCAGCAGCAACATTAACATCAACGGAGCGCCCTCTCATCAGCCAATCGTCGTCGTCGTCGTCGTCGTCTCTGCCCGACTTCTGTTTCCTTCCTTTTTTTCTTCTCTTATTTTATGCTTTTTCGTTCAACTTTTTATTTTGTCTGCTGTCTGCACGCAATATTTGTATATGTATATATCTCGTGTGGGTTTAGTGCTTGACGTGCCAGACATGAACCGGAATGAATAATATTCTATGGTCAAGTTTTGAATATCTGCTTGTTTGATAAATGACTTTGAGCTGAGGCAACAAAATTTACACCCCCAGGAAGTGATATTGCATGTGGAGCAATTAAATGGTTTTTGTGATATTATGGAAATTAGTTGGTGGGACGCCTTTGGGGTTAATCCATATCAGAGACTGCCAATTAAAAATATGTGAATATTTTGCTGAGAAAATTAGTTCAGAAATGCAGTGACCTTTAGTAATTTGACATAGATCTCTGCTTCTGATTTTGGTAGAAAATGTTGACAGATTTTGGTAAATAATTGGGGTGCTTTTGAGGCACATTTGAAATTGTTTTCTATAGCTCGCTTTTGGCGAGCCTTTCACACTTTCTGCTTAAGGAAACTCAAAATTCCTCTCCTATAATTCCTCTGCTTCTACCTTGCATCTACTGAATATGAAAATCATTAATAACTAACCATAAAAGTGTTATAATCACGTCAGAGGTGTCAAAAGCGAGTCCCCCGTGCCGCTCTCTACAGCCACCGCCGACATCTAACAAATTGCCAGGCCGCTGTAAGCACGTGGATAATTGATGAGCGCCGACAACTTCAACTCCAGCTCTAACACCAGCCTCTGTCGAAGTCTCAGTCTCTGCCTCACTCTCAGCCGCAGTCTCAGCCTCAACCCGAGCCAAGCCCGAGTCTGCTTCTGCGTCTTCGTCTGCCTCCATCTATGCCTCTGCCACCATCTTGGTCACACCTCCCAGCCCCATTCGGTATTTTAGCATAATTTCAAGTGCCCCCTCAAAGTGATCTCAAAGTGCTTTGTGTCTATGCCATAATTATGCCATTTGTACAACCGTTTTGAAGCCGCTCTCGGCCGGCAAACATCAAACTAATTTGAATATAATTTCATAGAAAATCAACCGCTCCCCTCTCACACTTCAGTTATTTATTGCTTAATCCTTGTGGTTTCTGCCTCCGACTCGTGCCTCGGTTTGTCTTTTATGCAAATTCTTTTTTAATAACCCCTCCCCGTAGCAGGGGAAATTCTTTTGCCAGCATCTTTTGTTCGCTTCAAGTTGATTGCAGTCTGTCAGCCCATTGTCTGCTACGATCTGAGCCGGCGGAGGCCTGCTCTGACGCCTTTTTTGTTGTTCTTTTCGGTTTCATTCATCGCTTTTGATGGCTTTTGATTATTATTGAAAATGATAAATGAAGATGGGTTCGTGTCTACGTCGAGTGCAGTAGCAATTTGAACTCATCAAGCGACGCTGCAGCTCTGATTGCTACCTGAAAAAAGCTCACAAAAGAAGGGCCCCAAGATAATGAAAAGCCACTAGAACTGAGTGTATTCAAAATATTCATGCATTCGTTTGTAATGAAATTTGTGTGGGTAATATACGAAGAGCTAAAGATTTGATGGGCTCTTTTTGGCTAGGAAAATTGAAATAAACACTACCAATTTTTTGATTATTGTATTCGATTATTTTTCTGCTCTTTCCCATAATGCACTCAAAAAGGCGAATGTTAGTGCCATCACTGCACAATGGGTAAAAAAAACACAAATTTTGACAATTTCAATCTCGTAAAAATTGCACGAATGCTCTTTAGACTTAAGTAAAATGTTGGGAACAAAATATAGTGGTTTGGTCCATACGAAAAAAACCCATTCATGGCATTTGAATAAATTAAATTTGAATTGAAGTTAAAAATTAATATTTTGTATAGTTTTTTAGCACGTTTCTACTTGTATTTGTATACCAGAATTGCTGGGTCGCTTTTACTCAATATTCTTCAATATCCTAACCCAAACAAATATTCCAATACGCTCTTGATCAATTTGCTATTAATTATTTTGGAATTTGCCTAACTATCGTCTCGCAACAACATCAATCAATTATGAATTATGACGGCTTATGTATTCGCATAGCTTCAACCAATTGTTATATAAAATTTGCCATAGACCTGCCTGCGCATTCAAGATCAAATCATTTCGCTTTTTCCCGCCCCTTTGGTTATTATGCCCAAAACTATTACCCAGCTAAATGCACAGTTAGGCAGTTGAAGTTGCAAATTGCCAGCGCAGAGCAGAGAACTCTTAACCAAATCCCTAGCCAAAACGATCATCAGCCATTTGGCCAAGCACAGCAGCCATTAGGGGGTATAGCCGAGCTCCCAACTACTTAACCCGAGACGCTCCAACCAGAACCAGCGAGAGCTGACAACTGTCAGAATTTAATGGCGGCTTCAATTTTTATAACCAAAGCACGACTACCGTCAAAAGCCCATGGAGAAACGACTGCCGCTGCGGTCATCAAGTGCAATGTGAGTTCGGGGAGGGTGGACTGAGGGCTGGGACTGCGGCTGCTGCTGCTGCTGCTGCTGCTGCTGCTGCTGAGGCAAGTTCAAGTCAAGTTAAAACAGATTACGCCAGCCAATCTGACGGAGGCTGGCTGCAACGTTGCAAATAAGAAATGCAAACGAGTTGGCAAGCGCGCAGAGGCCCCAAATGCAGATTTCAAAGGCACGATATCGGGTACCATAGAGGGGCTACCCTGCCCTGACTCTTTTGGGTGAGTTGTATGTGTGCAGCATGCAATATGAGTTCCCACAGTCTCCTCGGCGGGTTGCCTCTTTGGCAACGCCTTCAAAAACTGATGACGTTGTAAGGCAGCCGCAGAGTTGAAGCCGCCGCGACCTCCTACTCCACCTCTTCCTCCCCCTACTGCTGCTGCTGCTGCTCCTCCTGCTTCTGCTGCTGCTGCTGCTCTGGCTGATGACTCGCAAACCTCGACATGCATATGAGCTGGATGGCTCTTGGAGCTGGGTGCGTGATATGACGTGAGTCACGAGCTGCGCAGTTGCTAGCCAACAGTTAACCTCAATAATATGTAGACAAAAACATGTACAATGAGAGTAGAGGGTCGAGTGCAGAAGTGCGGACCCACCCCAGTTGTCAGGCCAACGCCTGACGGCCAACGCAGGTAGCAGAACAAAAAGCAGATCGAGAGAGCGAGAGTGAACAAGCATCAGCATACGCCGGGTCAAAAAGCTCGCTCTCGAGCAGTCGAATATAAAAAGCCCTATCCCTTTCTCTTGCTGCACCTGCTCTACATAGAGAGCAGCACTGCTCCACTCAACTCGTGCTTCACGCAAACATCTCTAGTCACACAATTTGAGCCACAGCCATAACCATCACCATCATCCACGCTCTCGTCTTCGTCGTCGTCGTCGTCTTCGTCTTCGTCGCTTATCTGGCAAAATTTGATCAACGTTTTCGCAATTCGGGAGCTCCGCCCCGAAGGTATTTCCATAAATATTCCTCAGCCACAGATCGGTTCGGTTCGGTTCGGTTCGGTTCAGCCTCTGCCTGCTGCTTTGGCTTTTGCTTTAGCTTTATTTTTTGCTTTTTACTTTTATTAGTTGGCCTGCCCTGGCGTGGCCTGGCCTGGGCAGTTTTGGTTTTGTTGGCTGCTACAAATAAATTAAAATTATGCATGCTTAGGCATAGGGCCATGGGAATTTGTTTCTTTGTGGGAAAGTCTCTTTTGTCTTTGGCTTACTTTGAATTTATTTTTGTTATTTTTTGGGTGCGTGTTTTTTGGGAGGCTGAACGTAAACAAATACGTTTCGATGGTTACAGATAATATTTTTGCGCTGAAATTTATGAGTGTGGGAGCCGCAGAAACGAGGAGGAGGCTGAGGAAAGATAGTCAATGGGTTTGTGGGTAAAGTGAGCAATTTATATGTAATTTTTGTGGCTTTTCATGAGATTAAATTTTGCTTTTTCAGAGATTTATTTGAGATTTGAGGTAAAAGTTCTACTTTTGAAGTAAGAACGTATTTTTTTAGCAGTTTAAGGACAGCAGCTAAGTACGCCAAGCAAAAAATTCGAGTTAAAGTCAAATTTTAGAGTAATTGAAGCGTTGCAGCTTTAGGCTTTCAAAAATAGACGATATTGTCAGTTAACTCTTTCCACTTTAATGTTTTGGTGTTAGTTGCCACACAATTTCCTTAAAATGTATCCCAAGGGAAACCTCTGGGCCAGGCACGAACTTACCCTCTTTGCATGCCATTTAAAAATTTTAATAAAATTGCATAAGAAATGCAGTTTGATCGGCAAGAGCCAAGCCCGAGCATCGGGCCAAAAAGATCATTCAGGCACGTTCAAGCAGTTAACTC